CAGTTTGACAAATATAGATAGAGCTCTTACTGCTCTCTAAAACTGTGCTACTTGTCATTTCAGTAATTTCATTTTTCATTACTTTTGGACCTTGAAATTGATAAATCAATGTTTTTATATACATCTCCTTTTCTTCGCTCGTAATTGAAGCCAAAATATATAGGAACAATCCGCAACATTTACTATATAGGCACATGGAGAAGGCATCATAGGCTAGTCTTCAAAAGATCTTCAACAAAAGATTTAGAAGTTCAAAAACGGCCATTTTTACGTCGATGAAACGTCCTTGAAAGGTTTGAATTTGCATAGAGCATTCCAAAGCACATTTTAATTAGAGATTTGTGAATTGGCTTTAAAAGAGAACTACCATCAACTGTTTTTTTCCTCATTTTAAAAGTGTACCTAACAACTCAGTTTTACATTTAATTACGTTTTTGTAAACGGACGCGACCGTTTCGCTCGACGAATACTTTCTGTTTGTAGCGCAAACATAGCATGTATGTACGCGTCAATGGTTGCCAGACGATAAACAAAACGCGTCCGGTATCGAAAATATTGAATTTGGGTATCGCATATATTTTAAACTGATGATAGGTAGTGTAGCGTAAAATGCGTTATAGATATACAGGTAGGCACTTTATTACATGAATTTACCTAAATTAAAATGGTAGGGAGATAGATGGATAACATAATTAATTATAAACATTCGTTTCTTGAAGCTCGCCGTGAATATCACCTCCAACCAGCATGACGCGAACTTATCGCTGTGAAAAATCTAGAAGGCACTTACCGGCAAAAGGAACTTCGCAGACGTACTCCTCAACACAGTTGTCCGTGTTACCGCTACGATCAGTGGCACCACTGGCTACGGACGCCGCAGACGCAGCACGAAGCAAGCTCACTTCAGTCTCTGTGTAGCTGTCGCGGAGAGCGGACCTCCTCTTGTATTCCTGTAGAGAAACGCGAATGTTCATATTTCTTTTAATATTTGAAGTAATTACCTAAAGAGGATTGAATGGTATCATTTTGCTAGGACCATCATAGTACGTTTGTGTCCACTATCACCACCTCTGTCAGACTTTAATAGACACAGAAATAACGAGCACAAATGCAAGTTCAATCGAGCATATCATAACACTCCACGCGTCAATCGCTGGTTTGTTCAATTCTTACGCGCCTACTCCGTCTACGAAACCTTTCTAGCGCCTTGTTAAAAGAAAGAAAATGTGCTATGATGACTTATTCTGAACATCATCAAGGCTAACATTAACATGAACTCTAGGAACAAATATGCTCGGTTTAGATTATTTCAGTCTGCTATTTAATCCAGTGCTGTAATTAATGTCCGTACTCGTTCATAGGTCCAGCCAGTGCATTCCAGTGCGAGTTTGGATTCAATGAACTGGAATAATGTAAACAGGGTATTGAGATGACATAAACAGCATTTATTTTCCATTGTTATTCTCCTCGTTTTGAAACCAAACTTTACAATCTATTTAGATTTTATCTTCTAAGAAGGCAATTTACAAAATGGCGATTCCAAAGAAAATTTATGTACTACGGTCCACACAGGTAGGTATTTCACTTTGCCTAGCTAATTTCATTATGAGCTATACTTAACGGGATATATAACTGGTGATTTGGCAACGTATGTAAGGGATATCATACGTGGCAAACCAAATTCTGCTCTTAATAGTTATTCTTCATAAAACGCAAATAGACATTTAATTATCAAAATAAAACTTAATAAGTAGCTATAACTTTTTGTAATTGACATGCAAATTCACAGCGAACATAGGATGAGTTGAAAATAATATATGCTTCGAAATAGGAACCCACTTACCTGCACAATTATTCAAAGAATGGTCTGTCAAAATTTACTATGGATATACCCATCGTGGAATGCACGAACTTACTATAACCATGCTTTAAGAGTGACTTTTTCTTCCATGGTAACGCTTCTTCCCTTTCTCATCCAGAAGAGGTATAACCCAGTTCCACGAATGATTTAATAATTCACCTAATTATCAAACAGTGTCAATATGCGAACAGTGATCGCCAACTCAATTGCCCAGAATAAAATAAAATCTGGGCATAGTATAATAAAATTCAGAGAAAAAATATTTTGGGACATCTATCTAGCAAGGGTGTAGGATGACCTCAAGCTGGTTAGGTGATTTGTGCTAGATGATGTGCATACTTACAAATGATAAGAGCCTGAGCAAAGCGCAGTTCTGTCCAGTATTTGAAAACGTTGTGCTTGAGCACGGCCATCTATGTCAGAAGGTTAGCCCTATTTGTAACTAAACAGAGCTAAAGCACAATAATACATCATTTGCAAATAAAAATATTGAAAGTTGCAGATTTGTTACAACTTAACTCCAGCCATCTGTAGCCTCTCTAGGATACGACATCTAAGCGAATATTTTTTTTTGTGGATAAGTTACTAAGTTGGGAATACCGCTGTCAAATCCACATTCATCATTCTTAATCATTCGGTCGTCATTATTTAAAATGAAATGTTAAATATCTAGTTATAGCTGGAAGAGTCCCATGTCCGCGGTATTCAAACATACGAAATTGTCAGAACAGAGTTTTCTTGCCATTTTATTTTGTTGTGATTTTTTTAGGTGCCTTTCCAATGTTTTGATAGGGCGCAAAGTCATTGAGACGGCGTCGGGTGGACCACTCTTCTTAAGAGTATAAAAAATTTGATAATAAGCTATCATCAGACTTAATAAATATACCTATATATAACCAATCATTACAATAATTCAAGCCAATCCGAAGGAGTACTTATGATAACTAAAACTTTTCAATAAATCATTATTCAGCTAGCATTTTTAATTCATTTAATAAAATCCCCAAGAGTGCCAACAAGTGTGGTGTTGTAATTCTATGTTGTAACCTGTAAAACATACTTAAGCAACAATTTATAGCTCCAAAATGTTGCTAGTACTAATAATATAGGCGCACAATGAACGTAAGTGGGAGTTTGACCGAAGACACGATCTACTTCGGCAATATTATTAACTAATAATAAACAATTACATTTTTAATATGATTCAATACTTTGTTTAGGAAAAACTTGGAGTTGGGTCTAGACCCAGGTACTTTTTACCGACCTGCTTGATACTCAATAATGATCAAATTTAAAACTTTTCTCAGTGATTATAGAATTGTATCTAATCTAATCCTATTAATTACTTAGAATTTATATATCAATCAATAGTATGTAGTAATATAATCTTTTATTAATTTAATTAGTTTGATTAAGAAAAAATACTTAATAAAATTAAATAAATAGAGATTTTAATAATGACCTAAATATTAATTTTCACAAATAAATGAGACCGTCTCTGTACATAATACAATATTATTTAATGTGAAATATTGTCTTCTTTCATACTTGCACACCTTATAAATTGTTAATAAAACTTTTAACAAAAAAAAAGTACTTTTATTGTTAACCACAAAACGTCACTTTAATACACTCCTTAAGTAGTTGCAACACGGTTCACTTTTAGAAAAAACAAGCCGAGTTCTGCTCTATTGTGACGAGACCCTAGCCTTACGCACCCCAAGCGTATTTATAAATCTTCCATTAAAAACTAAACTCTATAGTTAAACAATCAATGTGGTAAATTAAACCGAGATTTTACTTAATCTACCTTATATGGGCGAATTGTATTTAAACTTTAATCTAATAGTCGCAAAAAAAAACAAATTCTAATCAAAAAATAACTTGAGTATATAAAAAAATATTACGGTTTATAATAGTCATCTTAACTACACGTATTCTTATAACCGTCTATAATTAAATATAATAATTGATTGCAAACTGATACAAATGAAGTATGGGGTTGACCCTAATGTTTGAACTTGCCCTTAAAACTGGGCAAAAGACATAAGAGAAAATGAGATAGACCAACACAGACAATGACATATTGTGAATCGAAAATCAATTTTGATTGATTACTCGCAAACCATTAAGTGATCACTGTAAAATTATCCGGCCAAAACTTATTTATCAATGTTTTTGATTTAGGCGCCCTCTTAAATAATAACTCGAAAACCATTATGTGATCACTGTTAAACCATCCGGCCTAAACTTATTTACCAATGTTTTTGATCCTCTTAAATAATAAAACGACGAAATACAAGCTCGTGCTGTTCACTTATAGTTTGGTCATATTTGATAATAATATTTGATTATTTTATTGCATTGAACAGGCTCCGACACTATAGGACCAATTTAAAAATACTCGCCCCTAGGGGCACCTATATCATACGTGAGTAACACGGACTTTAACATGGGTGAAGTCGCGGGAAAACAACTAGTATTCGATATAATGATTCATTACATTTCTTCTCTATAATAAAACACACATTATAATATACTTACATAAGATTATAATGTAATATAAACAAAAAATAGGCGTACTACGTCTACAATCATTAGATTTCCTTACCTCATCTTTCGCATTTTTTTTTACTTAAAATGAACTTCTACTACTACGTTTACTACGTTTTATTTCATTCCTTGGCAAAAATACAGAGAAGAAAATGAGTGTTACGTAGTTTTACCACCGATTACAATCCAGCTTAGCGGATCAGATTCCACGTATAATATTACTATGTTTTTCTAAATCATTATGCCTACCATATACTATACCACAATCTCTCATTAATGAGTAGCTCGAGATATAAAATTTCTTCCAACTGGGGCAGAAACTAAATAGTATAGTTTTTTATTCGATTTAAAAGTGAAAGAAGTTTTTAAAAAATAACAGACGTTCAAGTGTACTTTAAATTCTCAATTCAGAAACCGGGTGTAATCTATCGAATGTTTCTTGAAACTACCTGTCTTCAGGCTTCAGCGTTTTTATCATTTAATGAATAACAATAAAATATTAAAATTCAGAACCAATACACAAATACAGTATGAAACAGCAAAAACACAAGAAAATCAAATAAAACAATAAAAATCGACATAAGTAGTTTTATTACATTAGAAACAAAATACTTTAAAAAAAATATAGGTAAGATAAGACTACCTTATAAATAAAATCATCACTTAAAGTAATATTAATCAATGGGAATTAATCAAAAGTAATATTAAAAAAACAACCGATACATTTTTTTTGGAACAAATAAATTTTCAGTCTATATTATAATAAAAAATACAATTTTATTTTATGAAATACTTTCAACAATACCACAATACGATTCTACCGTTATTGTCATATTATACTGTCATGTTGGTAAAACTTAAATGTACAATCAGCCGCATATCAGGTTATTTAAAAAACATGTATTTTTCCATTCAATTTAATCCCTAACCTTAGTCGATTCTGAAGTGTAAACCTGAAATGCTGCTGTATGTATTTATATGTGCCTACACAACTAGTTATAACCGTCATTAATTCATGAAACATATTTAAATTTTATGATAATTATAAAAAAACATTATCAGTTATCAAACATCCAATTTATAAATGCGATTTTGTACAAAAAATATATATCTTAAGAACCGTTTCGTTTCGAACGAATTATCTAATACTGTTTTAAAAGAACTATTAAAACAACTTTATTTTAAATGAAACTTTGGACCAAATGATCAGATCAAATAAGGCACACTATTAAAATAGTTGAATTATGTTCTAAAATAAACAAATTAGCACCTAATGGAAAACTTATCCGATAAACATACATTTTAAATGACAACATGAATACATAATATATTTTAAGCCTAAAAGCACCTTTAGTACAAGACTTACTAGCTAATTTCTAAAGACTAGGTTAAGAATATAATCTGAAAGGCAATTATATATTTTCAATTTTCAATAATTATTTACATCAGCTCTTTATTGTATCACCCTGTGATTTTTTTCTAATTCTTATCTCTTCAACAACCTCCATTATAAGCTGAAACGTTCCAAAATAAAAACAGAAATCAAATTAAAGTTGTGGGAAAAAAATTATTATAAATCATGCATCGAAATGATAATCGTGAGGTGTTAAAGATTACATGCTACTTTTAAATTGTAAGTTAAACGGTCAGTTCGTTGAAAAATCGTATATTTATTTTTAAACAATTTAATAATACTGTTTCGAGCGTGATCAAATTAACGAACCAAATTAATCACTTTTAAAATAACTTAGCGGAAACGTATTTATATTGATAAATATCCTTAAATAGTAACATATTTGTGACATTTATTACTGACCAAACTAATTACATGCTTGATAACTCGCCATGTGTTCCAAAAAAAAAATTTAATGACGTATCTAATTGAAAGCACTAGTGCTATAGCGTACACTTATAAAAAGCTTCTAAAAATTATTCAATCAGGACTAACCTGACTCAACGGCCTTATGCGTTCGTGGATGCTATTCTCCGCTTGTTTCGCCGACGGAGGTGGATGATCAGGAGTAGGCGGTTGCTCATAATGTGTCGGCGACAATGGTATATCGACCCTCGGACCATCGTAATGCCTGTCACAATCGCTCGGACTGTTCATTGATTGGTCGTCTAATAAACTTTCTAGAGAAGACCTCTCTTGGTTTGAATACTTTCTAGGCCTATTGTCATTCATTCTAGGCTCGTAGTTTTCGTACTGTGGCGCGAAATTGTTCCTTCTCAACTTGCGTCTAGGGTTTTGTTCTTTTATGACAACATTCTCGTACATAGCCGTTATGGCGACAGGTTGGGATCTGTTTTTGAGACTGGGACGAGGGTTGGGCACTGGAGCTATTCTGGGCGAGTTGTGGTTGTCCTCGTATTCTGAATAGGTTAGCTTGCCGTCTACGTACTGGTCTACTGAGCGACCGTGTTTTAAATAATGTTTGGCACCCTGTAACAAATGATAAATCTAATTTAGGATAAATATATCTGACATATATTTAAAGTTATTGTTATTAGGTCGTAAAGGACAATCTGCAAATTGATCCAAGTATTGTAGCACTTTGAGTGATATATGATTTGCAAGATCTCATTTAGGGAAACATTTGTGCGTATGGTGACGAACCTACAATCCACGATGAAAAAAGAAGATACCTATAGAGTTTTTGTATTTGTTAGCATTTTCTAGAAAAGTTTTGTATCACACACCGTTTTATACAAAATATATACCATAGTTCTATTGTAAAAAAAAATCACTGCCTTTTCATCGACCATTTTTTCAAATTTCCTTGAACAAAACTATAAAAAAAAAATCTTGAAATAAGTATGCTGCGAGATTTGAGGTATGTTTTATTTGTACTTTTTAAACGGAATGAAAAGAATTCTTAATGTGGATTTAATGTGAAAAAACCACTTTCACCCTGGCACTGTGAGATGGAACTCGAACTCGTGACCTTTCGCAATCCAGGCGACTTATCACTGAGCTACCCAGGATCTAACAGGACTGATGAATTTTTCAAGCACTTGTTACTTTTGAGGTACTACATAACATATTTTCATCAATGTTCAGGCAATCCACCCAAACAGCCGAAAGAAATATTTTTACAAATATTTAAACTTTCGATAAAGATGAAAATTGGTTATTATTATCATATTTCGATCATTCACAATGTTATACTGAAAAACAGACACTGCCTGTTCCATTGGCGTAATGTTGCCTGTCCGTATTTTATAGGATGTGCTACAGCGAGTGCGCACAGGAGTTGCACGATCTAATACCGTCTTCATTTACCAACGCCAATCTAGACGCACAGCGGTATACCATCTTAATTTTGTAGATATTCCTAGATACCGCACAAAGTACAATTCATATCCTTTTCACTTCGCATTGCTAAGGAATGGAACTCCCTGCCGGCGTCTATATTCCCGGAAAGAGGGAATTTCTGGTTAAGCTGGTACCATTGTAAATCTCATTCATGTCCTAGGGCTGGATTGAGGTCAAAGTGAATAAATAAAGAAAGAACACTTGCAGTTAGATTTTGAAAGTAAGTTTAAATATTTCTACAATTACCTATATATTTTTATACAATTACGGCGGTTAATAATTGATAATATTTTTTTTTTTTAAATCCAAGACAGATTTGTTAATAGAAAACCCGCTGTCTACAATCGCGCTTCCGTGGATTAGGGTAAGGCAGATATTTATAACGTTCCAAATGTCATCGCATTATTTATCATATCTAATAAGTAAATGGAAGTACTCATCAACAACGATTTTGTTATTATAATTCTATTCAAATTTTTTACTCCAGAACTCCTGCAATTCGGAAATAAATTTTTAATACTGCCTTTTTATTTTCATTTTATAAAGACTTATAAAGCGTTCGAATAGATGTTTGTTTTTGTCTGTACTATTTGCAAAAGCTTATTTGAATGTTTCTGTGCACACAAAATTTTCTCTATTCTCGAAATACAAATCTATGAAACCCTTATCAAGCTTTTTGGGTTTCACGATCATCATCGTGAAGGTTTTTAATAATTTCATCAGCCCTCTTACACTCGAACGTAATCGTGACAGATCGACATTGAAATTGTGCCGCTCCGCACTCTTGTTTGGTTCACTAGCATTCTCTGGCGCTAGTGTAATCAACTAAGAGTACAAAACGGCACAGTTGCAATGTCGATCGGTCGCAATTGCGTTCGAGAGAACGGGGGCAGTTCTGTGGACAGAAACTTTCAGAAATCTCTCAATGCAAGGGCCATTTTCAGGGCATCTGGCATTGAAGTGAACTGTAAACAGCGTAACTGTACACCGGTGAGTCGTTAAATATCATCCGTTTTTTTTTTTAAATTCGTTCATTTTCCAGTCAGTTTGCTTATATCCAGTCTTAACAGCGCCATTCAAGGTGTGTAGATCATAAACTCCTGTCTGATCTATTAATGGAATTTTAGAATGTACTGTAACAAGTTGTTTTAAATTTTTGAATAAAGCTAAGGAATCCCATTTGAAACTTGCAATAATTATTTCACGATCTACATTTCCTTTAAACCATTCGCAGTCGATTTTTCTAGAAAAACGCTTGTCCAATTCGTACGTTGAGAACGATAGTGACACAATGCATAAAATGCGATTTTGAGTAATGAGCGTTTAAAGTTCAAGAAATTGTAATCAGCCGCTCTAAACAACGTATCGTCACTACGCCACCTAGCAGTTTCTATGCAAACTTAGTTCACAGGGATCTTTGCATTTTAAAGTTTATACTTAACAAAGAAAAATGTTGCCAAAAGTAAAAAATACGTCATTTTTGGTTAGTGACATTGTGATTCTCAACGTGCGAATCTTCTTTCGACTCTTTCGGTACTCTTGCTCTTATGGCAATATGCATTTGACATTTTTGGGAGACCTTATTCAGTGATTCATCATAGGAATTTACGTAAAATAGACAATCTTTTGGCTTATAAATACGGCGTAATTCTATTGCTTATCAGGTATGACGCATTTGTTTTTCCCAATGTAAAGTTTGTAACTGGGGGTCCGGACTAACTCAGTGACTGATAGTTAAATGAAAAGGCTGACAAGGCTGAGAAATATATTTACGGAAAAAGCAAAACTGTCACAAAAAAAAATCTATATAAAAAAGTTCATTATGGGATTTCGAAAAAATTTTGATAATATGAATAAAAACACTCAATTACACACCCTGTATTTCGGTTTTTCTTAGAAGGCAAGATGTTTCACGTACATAAATGATATTGGTATAAATGATTAAATTGACATTGATTCGTGTTCTTGCCAAGAGATTTTTTTACGAACTGTTTTCAAATTGAGCATGACGTATTTCTGAAAATTTTAAATTACGAAAAGCTTAGGACAAAATTAACGGTGTAGAACGACGCACCGTTACAAAAGGGCAATCTCGCTATTTAGAAACATTCTCATAAATGCAGTTCTGATTCTGTCACTGCCCAATGTATTTCTGCAAATGTCACATCATCATCTTAAAAATCAAATTCAAGAGACACCATACAGGAGAATTGTTACAACTTTCGGTAATTGGCGACGTCGTCTTTATGGCACTGGCAAATGTCGGAGATCTGAGATCTGAGTGTTCGTCAGATTTGACCATTTTTGCTTAATACAACATTTTAAACATGTTTAAGTCCCTTGGCATGTGAAACCAGCGCTCGTCTGCCAATATTACTTAATTTGAAGGACTTGCGGCACAATTCACAGAATGCTAATATTGGATCGTCTGGAAGACCATTCAGCTATCCAACAAATTCAGAACTGAGTTTGGGATCTAGCTAACGTTTATTAAATAGACATTGTTTAGCAGTAATTTTAGCATTGTTTAGCAAAAATTTATTATTCCTCGTAGACAATATGTATGTAGTATACATGAAAAAAAAATCTGTAAATACGAATAATTAAGTAATTAAAGGAAAAATTAAAACAGGCTAACCGAGTTTAACAAAAAAAAGTTACAACACAGTTAATTGCAATTTCGAAAAATAAGATACGTGTCTGAGTAAACAAGTTACGGGCACAATATAAGTTTAACCTTTTGTAATAAAACTCTTTATTTACTGTAACAAACACTCATTTATTTCACAACTAGAAAGGAGTAATCTTTTAGCAGATAAAGACAAAAATCATAACGTAGTTTACTCCGGACCTGAAAAAAGAAATGCTTCAATGGTCTGGATTAAGAATCAAACTGGAGCATAAAAATATTTAACTTACATACACTTTATTTAACAATCATCAGAAAATTTTGCAAGGATCTAATTTAGTTTTAAATAGTCTTAATTTTTGCTATCACAGGGATTTTTCTTTCACAAAAAAAATAATATTCACTGATTTTTGTATTATATAATGGGCGCTTAGGTCAAGTTAAAGTTATTAAAAGTATTGTAAATAAATAATAATTTTTATTCTCATATAAATATTGACTGCTGCGTCGTCCCGGTGCATTTAGTGTGTATGAGGTGACGACATTTAAAGTAGACTGTGCCTGTACTTTCTACGCCATGTTGTATTATGCAGTTCTTTTTTCATAAATTGCTAACAAATACAAAACAAATTCAGAAAAGAATGTCAAACCTTACAAATAAATGAAGTAACATCCAATCTTGCATTCTTCTGTGAGACGGTTGATGGATCTTGCGTCAGATTTGCACCGATCCTTAGTGCACCCGCAGTGACAATTATGTACATTTTGTATACCTCGGTGTACTACACCGATCATTTTTTTTAATCGTTAAAAATACGAAAAATAATTAAGTAACCTTGATATGACAAAATGGTTGTTTGAACCCCTGCTCTTTTTACAACGTAAGATTTCAGCATCGTCTTCGTACATACAAATGTTTTTCTAAATGAGATCTCTCAAATGATATATCACTCAGTGCCATAATACTTGAACCAAACTCCATACTAAAGTGTCCATTCTCCTTTGGGTATTTGTATAGTCGGATTTTTTTTTTTTATATCCCATACATACAATGTTAATTCGTCATACATAAAAAAAGTTTATGTAAACTCATAATATTGCGTCATATTTTCAGTAAGTACCATTAGTTTACAAATTTTAGCGCATGCAAATAATTAAAAAAATACAATTTTGTAAACTATAAATGTTTGTATCCACTATGTGTATTCATATTTATCTTACAAATATCCTATCGACGCCAAATTTATAAAACATACATTCAATGTTAATTCGCCATCCCTCAAAAAGTATGTGTAAATTCGCCATTGCAAATAAAATATGGTACAGTCGCCGTGACTTTTAAAATTGTGTCATATTTTGATTAGTACCGTTAGTAAACAAAACTTTAGCGCATATAAATTATTTAAAAGAATAGTTTTGTTATTCATTAATGTTTGTATTCACAATATATTAATTTTGATATTTATTTTATAAAATCATATACATTCAAAATGAATTCGCTATCCCTTAAAGTTTATATGTAAATTCGCCATTGCAAATAAAAGTTTGTACCGTTAGCAAAAAAAATTTTAGCGCATAAAAATAGTTATATATCTCGAAATAAAACAACAACAAAAACCTTTACGTGCCAAATTAGAATAGGTTAGCTACCAAATTCAATGCTTAGCTCTTAGTTTAATCATATTCATCCATAATCCGTTATCCCATAATACCGTGATTTAAAAAAAATCATATTAAAAATATGCGTAATTTAAAAAGAAAATCATTCGCTCCTTTTTGCACACCTCATCACATTCTAAGTAGAAGCGGAACGCGTACCGAGATGACTGTTTTTACAGTAGTTACCGTTCTCATTTGGCTCGTATAGTATGTAGCGATAAATTCTAATATCGTACGAGTACATCTGTGAATTAAATGCTAATGACACCTACCGGTATATCGTCCAAGTCGTCTTGACTCCTTGCGTGCGGCCTTAACTCGTAACTGTATCCGGACGATGGTGAATTAGCATGTGTCGGAGACACTGACAGATTCCTACGTGGAGGCTTTTTGGGAGGGGTGGGCTGTGGACAAAAGAAAACCATCGTCAACATATGCAATACGATTATTTGAATAATGGCACTAGAATCTGAAACCTCATACTTGAGGAAACTAATCGAATATTCCTTTTCCTCCTTTAGAGGCTTCTAAAATTTTGTAACACTCAAGTAAGCCCGTTCCTAAAATTGGCTATCAAATCCTGTCTCTCCAATAAAGCTTTTATAATTTAAAGCGACTAATAACCAAACTTAAACAAATTTAAAACTTTTAATACTTTACGTAGCCTATACAAAAAAAAAATGCAAACATCAAAATTATTTAATCGATGCTGCGTTGAACTTGAAGCAATTATACGATGTTCCTTAAAAAGTAGTTTGTTTTTAGCTCAACTCGCTGTCATCGAGTGGGATAAGTGCCCGCAATTGAGTAATAGGTAATTTGAATGGAGACGGAATTAAAACTGTGGCTCGAGTCATAAGAAATCTTCTGTTATAGATTTTTTTATATTTTTTTTTATAAAGTTGATAATTTCAGAAAAACCGAGGCAACGTAGCAGAATACCGATTCTGCTGAATGTGGGAAAAAAATAATCGTCAACTTGCAGATCCGTATGTATATAAAACTTGCGTATGATTAGATATGGCTATTTTAATTCAGAGTCTATTTTCGAATCTTATAATTCAGAACGGTCAAGGTGATCAAAAATAATCTGGGCCAAACATACAGAAGAAGGCTTTCAAAATAGATAACGTTTTTACACAATAATGAGAAAATACAGGTTTCAAATATAATAAGATATATGAAATGAATGGACAACGTCAACTTTTTTGAAAACGATAAGGCATTTAATAATTAAAAAAAAAAACACTATTGCCAAATAACTCTTATCAACTTATGTTTTACTGGTATCGTGAGTTGTATTTTGAGAAGCTGGTCTACGTGAAGTAGTAGATGTAATAGATTATATTCCTTTGGTCTATGCTCCGCTACTTCTCACAACTTGGGAACAGAGCCCAGTGATCTAATATCTGGGTACGGATGAGGGCAAATTGGCCACAGCCGGTCAGCGAATGGACGATCCGAGAAATACTTAAACGGGCTATTGTGATGAAAATAAATGTTAGATATCATAATACTTGTATTGTGAGAAACTCCATGATGAAATTAATAGCACATCCGATTATCACAAAATTCTACCAAATTGGAAACATTGTTAAATGAACTGATATGCCGTCGACTTTGTGTATGTAGAAGCATTCATATAGTATAACTTACTGTACATAGTTTTGAGCGAGATTACAACAATTATTGAAGCACATAGACATCCTATCTTAGAGTGTTTTTAATTTGCCAACATTTACCATGTACTTTACTGTCTTATGTTTTATACTGTGTATAGAAAATAATATGATGATCGTAAGCTGTTTAAATGTCATTTTTTACTCTTTCTGTTGAACCCGCTCGTCTATTGGAGAACCGATATACAACGAGAGTTATTTACAGCGGAGAACGTTGTTGTTAATTACGTGAAACACTAAAAACCACTTTCTTAGTTCTTTGACACGCTTCCACTTCCAAAGAGTATTATTAGTTTACTTTGTTAACACTATAGCATCCATTAATTTATAAAAGTGATAAAATACGCTGCGTGGATTCAAATATAGTCAAAGTGATTATAATATTCGTACGATACATGACAACAATCAATCGATTTATCATTCAATGTGACTTTAAGGAAACGCATTTTTCAATATTTTACACACACACACACACACACACGCACACACGCACACACACACACACACGCACACACACACGCACACACACACGCGCACACACACACGCACACACGTCCGCACGCACGCATACACACGCACGCGAAAATAAATACACACGAAAATAAGAAAAACGCATGCACGCACGCACGCAATTTTTTGGTCATTCATCTTATGACTGGCGTTTGCGAAAGTTGCTTCTTTCGTATCGCACACCGACCATGCTAATGAGATCCTCATTCATCATATGTGTGTACAGTAAGAAGTAAAGAACAATAATAGTATTCGCCGAGTTTATTGCCGGTCCTTCTCAGTGCCTACGATAATAGTATGATATTAATTTTTCTTTTACCAAACCATACCTACCGGTGATAACATGAATTTCTCGATTTCGAGCACCGGCTGTGATGTCACATCATTATGTAATGGCAATATTGATTTATCGCTGACTGTACTAGTTTGGTATAACGTCTACCACAGTAGATTTACGAAATTTTGCGGTAATTTAATTTATTGATTTTAATATAACAATAATAATTAGAGTAGCTTGGTGGCGTAATGCATAATCGTCGCAAGGGTAGGTCACAGAATGGATGACCAAAAAAAAAAATTATCTCGTGCTACTCCGTGCTTCATAAGGCACGTTAAGCTGTTGGTCCCGGCTGCATTTGCAGTCGTTAATACCCTCCAATCCGCATTGGGCCAGCGTGGAGGGTCATGACCCATCCTCCTTAACCATCCATAAGGAAGGCCTGAGCCCCCTGCAGTGGGGTCGTAATAGGAATGATGATGAACATTATAATTTACATTTAAATACAATACAAATTAAACGATTTTCACAAGTGCTTTTTATGAGCGTATAATGAGTATTAAATTTGATATAGGTAAACTAAAGGTACATATTTAAAAGTCAGTCTTATTGTACCTCCCTTCAATTCAAAATAATCAAAAACAGACAATTTATTTATAAACCTCAAACTGATCACGGTCCATTACTACAATACGCCAAATGACCGAACACCAAAGGGACGAGTTGAAATACGTCTTTTCCTTCAGTCGATTCGCGGCTTTATTCCTAACGAATAGGGATCACAGAAAAAAATCAACATCAAAGGGCTGTTTATAAATCGTGTGCGCAAGCGCCGTCATTCGTTACGCATATCCTGGTACTTATAACATGGCGCCAAAGGATGAAATGTCAGCGATCCTCTCACTTTGAGCTCCATATTTTAATTAATATTTTAATATACTTAATAAACCCTTTTATTTTTATATTCAAATACACAGTTCTACTTCTAATTATAATTTTATCTAATATATGACACTATGTGGTCCTATATTATAAATAAAAAGTTCTTTTTGAATCACTCTATATTCAGTCTGGTCATAAACACTGTTAGAATTCAAAATTAAATAAAAAAAAATGTTTTGAAATTAAAATCTGTCATTTTTATATGGTTGTTCATTGTCTTTTATTATTTTTGCGCCTATACATTATAAATTATTTTGTGATATTTAAATGGAGTGGAGTGATAAAGAGAACTGCATCGCCGTGATTTTAAGTAGGTATGCAGCCAAACACAACTTTCAAAACCCTCCATACTCTTGGTATTAGTCAAATGTTAGTGTATCGGGCTATTGATAGGTACAATGAGACCTCTTCATCTAAAAAATGACTTCTTGCAACTTATAAGGGACGCCCTGCTCACTTCAATAAAAAAAGTAGATTTTTATATCTTTAAATATTTATGGCAAGACTATGTATTAAAAAAAAACCGCATCAAAAGCCGTCGGTTAGTTTTAAAGATCTCAGCATACATAGGGACAGACAGACGGAAAGCGACTTTGTTTTCTACATGTATTGATGATACTAATGCATAACGTTTGATTGTTTATAGAAGATTCTGGATTATTGAGATTATATGAGGAGGGGTGGGTCACTGGTTTATTACTTAAATAGATACTTATTCAGTTAATCGCCGCTTTCATTTATTAAATATATTAAGTCAAAATCTTCGTAGGGGTTTTGACCAACTGTGACCGATTGGTTTTATTCAATTTAAACCATTTTATTGGACGTCCACAACACAGAGCGGGTCGAATCGACCTGTATAATTAACGAACAACGTCGAGCGTCCCACAATAGCTAAATAAAGGTCGATCGCACAATTGGAATATATATTTTATTAAGGAACAGTGCAGCTAGCATTTGAATTGAGTAACTCAAAATGAGAGGTAATATTCAATATCCTATTTATTTAGTAAAAAAAAAATTACTCAGATTTAAAAATTGCCAGTAAAAGACTTTTGACAAAGTGACTTCAAGCGCGCGTCAAAAATAAATTTTTTAAAGATGAAAGTATTAGGTTGGGGAAAGTCTTTTCAAATAAAGGATTGTGGAGTAAACGTATAAAGTATTTTATTAATAAAAATAATATAATCCTTAATGACAGAGAAAATTTTAAAACAAAGATAATAAACAAAACAATAACATAGCAACCAAAATCATTTCTCTATGACTGGACGTATCGGTATTCAACCTTCATTTTTAACACGCCCCCTGAATACCCATACGTCTTAAACAGTACTCAAACTTTGGTCTTGGCAGACCTTTTGTGAGAGCATCAGCTGGCATGGAATTAGTTTCCAAATAAGTGATGAAAATCTCTTTAGATTCCGCTAGTTCTCTCACAAAATGGTATTTGATGTTAATGTGTTTCGATCTTCTACCTACAGCATTAGAATAAATCAATTTTGCAGCACTTTGACTATCACTAAACAATTCTACTGACACTTTAACACCAGTTAATTCTTCATATAAACCTTTCACAGATATAATATGTTTAGCAGCCTCGCAAGCAGCGATATACTCAGCTTCTGCTGAGCTTAATGCAACGCATCGCTGTTTACGTGCCTGCCATGCTATTACAGCGCCACCTAAAACAAGCATATATCCCGTAAACGAATGACCATCTTCATTTTTACCCCAATCTGCATCACAAAAAGCACATAACGGTTTTCCAGTTTTCTTATATATTAAAACATTATTCATTGTGCCTTTGACGTACCGTAAAACACGTTTTAATGCTGACATATGAGTTGTGTTCCAGAAGTTGTTGAATTGACTGAGATAACTTACAACAAAAGCAATATCTGGTCTTGTACCCAAAGCAAGATACATCAAGGACCCAATGATTTCTTGATAGCTGGGATCATGATTTATGTCACCCTTTTCTAACTTCAAATTC